GAACCTAAGTTTGATGGAAACTCGGGGATTGCGCCTATCTGATGAGCCCCAAGAAAAGCGAAACCGGTCGTGGGTTGTCAAAGAGGTTTCATCAACCTTGTGAGTAGTTTCCTTCATGAATATATACTGCAATATTTCGAATATCGTACCACGTGAAACATGAGGCGGCCTGTGTGCAGCACATTCAGTTGTAGAACATCATAAACAAGAGATTCGATTGAGTCTCCCGTGAAAACTAAATTGATTTGCAAATGAGTGTACTTTTCGAAGTGGATATTTTTTTGAAGATGTTAACATCCAAACCTTCCAGTATTTTTTATCTTTTGAGTTTGGCAAGAATTGGCAACGTACTTTTGGGAATAGTTGTCGGATAGCTGATGCGTGCCTTGTCGCCAGTCACTCAACTAACAATCCAGAGGGTTTTGACGAGCGAGTAACAGTTCATGTGCCTTCCTCATCGGCATGTTTCTGTCTATTGATATCACGACTTTAGATTGTAGACACCAATCTCCAAGGTGAATATGATGTGTGACACAATGAACGATTTGACTCTACAGCTGTTCTGTTGTGGGCTATGTTCTTCCGGCCAACCAACTGCCATTAAATATCCCCTGAAGTTAATTTTCGCACAAATTCACTTCGTTTTATCATACATGCATGACGTTGGTCATATCATGTACTCGCCGCCCAGGCGAGTGAAATCGTCGGTGTTTACGTACTGTCTGCCAACTTCGACATAAGCAGGTGCTGCCAGTAATGCTGACTGCTAATTCATCAGTGTACTGCAAAAGACCACTAAATTATGAGTTGTAAAAGCACAGCGAGGTGCGCACTTTTTTGTAAGTCATAGCATAGGATGTGGAAACTCGTTTTAACTTGTTTCCTGTTTCATGCGGACTTTCCAGATGAAGCGAGAACAGAAATCTGCGCGAAGTTCCTAGCGTTACCAGCTCATCACATGCAAGGATTAATTTCGCAACCATCACGAGAGATGAAACGTAAGACTGGTTGAACAAACTCCCTCAAGTTGGCCTTCATGCTAGAGCCCAACAATGCAAACGAACTGGCTTGGTGACGTTTGCTACAGTTGGAAATATTACTAATTATAGCTTTGTATACTACTGACAGCCGGATCCAAAAAATCTAGCGGTAATCTTGACAATAGAGTACCTGCCACCCGAGGTGTGTACAAAACTTCAGTTCGGGTCAGCAGTAAACCGTACCCCGGTTCTATTGCTTCTTATTATTTTACTGGCAACAGATTAAACAAAGAAAAAACAGCGGTACAGTACGAAGAGGTTTTAATCCGTTACCGACGGCTTCATCGGGCCATATTGCCTACGCTGGCAGAACACACTGCTTTAACCTCAAGTTTACATATGACCACGTTTTCCATTACGGCTGCCCACAAATCGCCAGTTCTGGTCAGTATGAAACCGTACACCGGTTCTATTGCTTCTTATTATTTTACTGGCAACAGATTAAACAAAGAAAAAACAGCGGTACAGTACGAAGAGGTTTTAATCCGTTACCGACGGCTTCATCGGGCCATATTGCCTACGCTGGCAGAACACACTGCTTTAACCTCAAGTTTACATATGACCACGTTTTCCATTACGGCTGCCCACGTAATGGTTACACGGAAGCCCATGGGTAACTCGGAGACTGCGGCTACCTGTTGAACCCAAAAAGGACGAAGACGATGTTGAGCTGTCAAAAGGTTTCCACCAAGCGTATGAGTAGTGCTTCACTAAGGGAAACTATTACCCTTAGGCACAATGAAAGCTCTTGATCCACACTAACTCAGTGCTGGTGTAAAGTCGGATTGGGTTCCTATTTCGGAAGTTTCTAATGGTTTTAAACCCGACTGATTAAGTTTTAAGGTTAAGTCGTTGTTCTTACATTTTAGTAGGCGAATTCTTCAGTTGTTACTCTTTCAAACTTGCGTAAGACTTACGAAAGCCCCCTTCTGGCTACAAAATAAATTACCGCTGTGGTTCTGCAGGCACTTATGAGTCACAAAAAGACCGTTATTCCATAAAACCTACATTTAAGTTTAGAAGCAAAAAATCAGGCAGATGGAACATGACCTTGTAAGATGTTTTTTGACGATCTGACGTCAACATCGGTAAACTATCTACTGCATTACCATTTTCGTGAGTAGTCGTATCGCAGTGAAGAAGAGAAACTCCTGCTCTGCCACATCTCTTGCTACTTTTATCCTATTTCTCATGAATTCTCTTCTAGATACCTCTCTAGTTAAGATGGAAATCACACAACGAGCTCACTACTGGCACTGAATCCTGTCAAATAGTCATTTTCTAGATAAAGGATAGCAACTGACTTTCGTGGATTGGTTGTTAGAGGACCCACACTTTGGGTGCAAGGTTGGTGGGCCGTATCAAACTTAGTTCATCTCATCTCCGCTCATGTCATCTTTACTTAAAATTTCTATTAAAACACTCTTTGCCAGGACTTGTGTGATTTTTCTTCAACCCACAGTTCACCGGGTACGTATTACACTGGTGTGAATTGCTATTAATTTAATCTTTTAGCATATAGCCGGCTTTTACATTACCCTCCTGATCTCGGAACAGTATTCATGAGTATTCTGGTTTAAGTTGACTTTTGCTATGGCAGATTCGGGTGTCCCAATGAGCGCTCAAAGCGACAGCGTCTTAGCATTGACCGTTAATTCTGTAAAGCTGTTACGGGGTGGCTAAAAATACAACGATTTTCAGGGCTTACAAACTCAACACTTTTTCGGTTTAGTAGGCTATTTTTGAAGTGATTTCACTCGACGTTCGTCGTCCCAGCAAAATTTGGCATCTGAAAGAATTTGTAGAGCATCTGAACCTTGCTTCAAACTTCCCCATTGAAAAATTGAAGGTTGATTGCTTGAAGTTTAAGATTGTCATTTGACGGACAATTCCGTGCCCGAGACACAATTTGGTGTCTTTTTGAAGAAGGCAATGCGCGATGACACGTAGTTTCACACAGGAATTTTCAAAATTTATTTTGTCAAATTTCGCTGAATGATAAAGACTTACATCTGACCGTATCTACCTCAAGTTTACACTAGCAATAGTGTTTTAATCTTTCTGAGCATTCAAGGGGTTTGAGCTGCTATCGATTTTCAACAAGGACGAAACAGCTTTTACGCGTAGATTGGGTTCGCTGCAGAATGAAATCACAATTGAAAGTACCGAATCCCCTGAAACTTATACGGTTGTTAAAAACTGCGAAATCGACTCAGGTTAGATCCCCCGCGGGGAGAACCATATCGGTCGGTTATGTGGAGCAAATTCATTTCACAGTCTGAACAAAGCAGGTTTTTTGTTGGATTAGGTCCTTCTGGATTCGAGGCAGTCTTGCTGATTAGGTCCATGTGAACTTAATAAAATACGTTTCGTGCATCTAGATTGCACCGAAATAGGTAAGCTGTATGCTATTCAATTTATGCTTGATTACCAAAAACACGTCTCAACGCTCCACCTCAAATTTCCTCCCATGTGCCTTACAATTATCTCACCAGGATAAGTGAGCGCATGTTTGTAATATGGGGTTAATATAGTTCCATTTGAGTTCACTCGGGAATTACCGAAATGGTTATCTCACTTTTCTCTCTAATCAGCCCAAGATGATAAACTTCGGTTTCCTGGACGGTAGTGTTATTCGATTCAAACCAGACAAGATGCTCGTCTTCAACGACGATCGGTATGAACCGTGGTCAAACTGGAGTGAGTGTATAAAAAAGGACTGCATCGAAGTGCGTTTTCGTAAGTGCAAGGACGATTCGTGGACCCAACCATCTCCAAACAAGATTCATACGACCAAATGCTTAAGCAAGTTCTTTGCTGAAAAACGAACTTGTCAGAACACGACGGTTTGTAATTCACACGGTGAGTACAAAGACGCGCCCATGTGCGTCAACAGGGATTTTCAGAATTTATCCTTCCACGGCTACTTTTTCGAGTTTTTCACACTTTAGATGCCCGGGACATCTCCCTCCCCAAGGATTATGTCCTGTGCTTCACAAATGACCGGATGACAGCTAAATGATAAACTAGGAGATAGATGGAATGGTCGACAATCACACATTTTGTAGAATGAAAATACGGTTGAATTCACTTGCGGTGCATTTTACTCATCCTCTTCAAGATGCGACCTCTCAACAAGCAACCCCCTCTCTGACGGAACTGACTTTGCCAAACGTTAAAATCTCGCTAATAAAGGTTAGCGGGAAGAACAACTCACTGAATTAGGCAAAAGATCCATCTCATGGAGTTCTCAGCTTTAATATAAATTCCCCTTCACTGTCATCCAAATTTTTCATACCCTTCGACCACCACTATATGGGGGACCACCAAGTCTGACCTGCAACTGTCTGAACAGACTGCTAAGAAGCAACACAGCAAAGTGGGAATATGTTACGATTGTAGACCTAGTAAATCTATTATTCCGTATCGACCTGAGAAGGGAACACGCTGGATAAGCCTCTCGTAGTTGTTTTGTTTCCGGTTATATATTTGATCATCGTGACATGAACAATAAAGTTTGGATATCGGTTGGATAAGTAGAACCACAGGGGACTTGTTTGACTTTGGACATTGCACTTGGTTGAATGAGTGATTGGTGTGTCTTTTTTGGGGGATGATGGGGGCTTGAAAGCAATTTATCAACTTTGTCTCTGTAGTGCGTACATTCGGGAAATAACAAATCTGGTTGGGCGCGCAGCGCAACTTCATACGCAACGTTCCCACACGTCCCATTTAATTCACACTGCCTGAGTGAACGTGGATGCCCAGCGTACCTTAGAAATCTGGTTCACCTTCTGCGAATTCCGATTCACACCTGGTGTCCGTTATATGTGCGTTGAAATTTGTTTCAACCAGCAAACTATCAGCTAGCTTGACATGTATTTTGCCCACGGTTTTGGTACGTTCCCTCGAATGTCATGAAGCCAGCATTGCAGACTCCGAATACATCACCTATTTGCTTACTTGTTGGTGTGAACAGGTGGTTAAGCACAGATTCTAATGGATCTTTCGTCGTTGATGTTTCGAAACTGCATATGGAGTGCAAAAACTGCTTCCGGGTTTAGCTGGAAAAGTGTTCGAAATATCAAGGTATTTTTCCTTTGTAAGCTTTAGTACCCATGAGATAGTGTCAGCTGTTATTGGGGATATAAAGAAATTGATTTTCTAGTAAAAGTTCGTTGGAAGGTTGTGCAGTGACATGCCATGAGCAGCTGCAAGCACTGTTAGAAATGTGGCACTTCTTGAGATCTCCACGAAGCATATAATGCCCTCCAACAAACAACGGAACCAGCGATTCGGTGCTGAAGGATTCTACTGTATCGCTTTCTATTTAGTTATCTGTAGGTATGATATCGCTGCCATCGTGTCGCACTCTCCATGTTAACGCACAAGGACAAGTCAATTGCAGCAATCATGCAGAATCTGAAATCACAAAACATCAAGGTTTCTCCAAACTTACTTTGAGTCCATCCTCCTTCGGGTGTGAACAAGACATCAACTGTGGAGGGTTACGCTTCCGTGTGGACCACTGACTTGGAGTAAGTCAACTTTTTTAGGTGCCACACGCACCGGAATCGTCACAATGCAGATGACGTCGTCCTCGAAGAGGATTTTGTATCCAGAAAGCGCAGTGAACTTGTGCTTAATACAATGCCTTGTTCAAGAGGGGTAGCCTATGGTTAGATCCATAACTGGGGTCCATGTTGACTACAAACCAGTTCGTGATCCTCTTGAAGGCAAGTCATTTACAAGCTTTGTTACCGCATCGGTATTTCTCATGAGACATTATCGCACTGTGGTGATCAATTACACTGAAGCAAGAGAGCGTAACCAACTTAAAGAGTCATCGCGGTGTTATGTTTGTAGTGTAACTGGGATCTATCAACGGGGATAGCTGAGTTGGGAATACATCATTTCGGGAGGAAATCGAGGGGCACATATGACCAGGTCATTTCGAATAAATGATTTAAATAGGCTACTCACATAACAGGTGCAAATTTTAGTGGTGAGACATTGCCTATAAGGATGACGAACATTTGTTTGCGACTCATAAACAGGACGGTTAGCTCATTCTTGTAACAAAGGATTGAATAATCCACCTGTATGTGTTTCTGCTTCTGAAGTCCTTGAACCGGAAAGCAGAATTTACTATTATATCTAAATTAGGACTGGAATGTTTTACAGCCTGCCCTTATACGGGTGTATATACCTTTTTCTGACCAAGAAATCAAGGTTCTATTTTTCGATTCTCAAGTTCATAGAGACCGGAAGCAACCGAATCCATGTTAGTGAACTTCCCTTGGAGAATAAAACTTACGGAAGAATTCAAGAAGTTATAATTCTGGTGAAAAATCGGTAGCAGCACGAGGAGCAAGGTTATGTGATAGAGATATATAGAATATGTAAGATTTGTCTCTGTCAGATTCGACTGTTAATTCCTGCTTGGGCAGCTCATCCACCATCTATCTTCATCTTGCATTCACTATTCAAGTTTCGCTCTTGGCACGTGTCAGCGATGACAGAGCAGTATGCCGATCCGAAAAGTGCTGTATGCTAGTTGTGAGAACCGGTAATCTAAACATCTGGCTGACAGACTGCTGCCACAACAAATGAAGATGATATAAAGGATTGAGAAGAGTTCTGTATGGTTCTTAAATCGCTGCATACTGCCAAACAGTGTATTCGGTTGGTAGGTGGTGGTCTGTTACACTAGGCTAAGCGAGACCACTAGGTGATTAGCCGAGTGATACCAGGGATATGACGTGTGTCAAAATCTTAGTGGAACGTTCCTTTCTGGAGTCGTGAGAGACAGCCACCCTGAAGTAGGCGAATTTTCATCGAAAACCACGACAGCTTGGAACTGTGAAATAAACTGATGAAAAAGGCATTCACATCCAAGTTTTCGGGTTTCGACTTCGCTTGCGAAACAAGTCTATTTTTCACTCACCAAAACCCCTGTGCAGTTCTCAGAAGCAAGGATGGTATTTTTGAACTAGTGAAACATTTGGTCCAACTGCCGTCATTACTATGCGGAAAAAAATCATAAACAGGCGGTGGCTTCATACATCAACAGTTTTGGCGCCATCGTTGCATGACAGATGAATGGATCTGGTCGTACGCAATATTCCAACTTAATGCAGACATAAATGGTTCACTAGTTGCGATGAACATCGTTGGTTATCTTATTCACGCATAGACAAGAAAGCTGATATTAAAGCGTACGCGAAGCCCCGCACAAAGTGACGGTCTGTTCGACGCTCTATCGAGATCATGGTTCTGAACAAGGAGACGTTCGTTTGCGCATGTGTTGTGCGCGTCCGTGCTTCTACTTGCCGTGGTCGGTAAACAGTTTACATAATGTACAGTGTACTAGGAATGAAGTAGCTATTACACGAAGCTTCTTAACCCATGGAGCCTACTTCCTGTGTTCAACACACGAACTTAAGGCCGTGTGATACTACGGATGTGCAGATGAACTCGTGGCTGACCAGTCGAGATGGGTGGTACAAAGTACAAGGCTGTTCAGCGGGATACTGAGCTTGATGCTATCACACGTTAAGGTTTGTGTTCAATGGAAGCATTAATAAAGCTGCAATTTTTAGTTATACAACTACAGTTTTCGAACTTTAGCAGAACATGGTCATCTTATTGATTAAGAACATTTTTCGCCACTTTTTAATAAAATAACTGCAGTATCATAAAATGTTGAAGCCAGCAAATAGCAAAAAATTTGAGATGTTAGTCGGATGGCGAGGCCTCACATATACATCATTAGCTTATATGGTTGATCTGCTAACAATATAAGCTAGTTGTGTGATTTTTCTGTCTACCTCGCTTCTTTCTATACCTCTTCAACAGTGATACCAGAAAAACTGAGTGAAACCTGCGGAATCAGACCAAACACCCCAAGTATTGTTGCGAAGATAGTTGGTGGCGAGATTGTTACTCCTCATTCGTGGCCATGGGCGGTAAGTCTTTGGTGTGTGATGAAAGAATTTGTAAGATGCAAACCGGATCTCAAGATGCTGACTGACGACAGTGCCAGGCCATTCCGAACTGCTGTCCAATTTAAAATTTTGAGCAGTTAAATCGTTTTGTTTTAGTCCTTGCTCCGGGTGTGATTAGTCAGTGACTCGATCTCGACAAATGGATCAAGGATCGAGTCGTGCACGACTCGAGAGTGTTGTATCAAATGTGAATGCTGTGAGCAGGAAGTTTGGAACATTGTTCTCATAGGTGACTGAAACGATCTAGAGCAAATGTTTGGATTCTCATTGGACGCTTACTGTAACTGATAAAGAGCGGCTAGGCCAAGGGAGATGGAAGTTTAGACAACTAGCTTCGAGCTAATTTTACGACCGTTTGTTCGTTCTATCAGTCTTTTTACTGACCTCTGTAGACTGATTTTCTGAAAATAGTCACACTGACTGCTCAGTAAGCTGTGGGTATAAATCTGCCCCCATAGTGCAACAAATGATCCGTTTGTTTCTGTGGTTCCATGTCACATTGCTGAGAGCATTCAAGAATACAAACTCCTTATAACGCTTACTGATCGTCTGTGTAAGCTGAGCTTGACGAGCGCATTGTCCTTGTGCAGTGTGAACAGGTTTCCTATTTTATGTGATTTGACAGAGCACGCAACATGAGTTTCATACGCAAATTTACCAGTCAAATCCTTTTTCTTTTACTTTGGGCAAAGGAGTTGAGTGCTGATGTTTCTGGTTACTTCGATGATTTTCGGAAGTGTCATCCACATCACTCTCATTTAAACAGTCTCAGCCCCAGTGTGATATGGCGATTCCCATTAGCTAGAGCTAATCTGCAGGGCACTATGAACCTCGTACTTATCATCTAAGGCAGCAGTACAACTACCGCACTATTGCATGCTGAAGGTCCTCGAATCTCCACGTCTGCTCCATGTCCCGAGCAGCCTCGAATGTCCTGACTGTCTACCAACTGGTTCTCCCGTCGGGTATTTTGACTCAGGTGGTATCTCGGGCGTTTTAGACTTACCGGAAAACTTTTTATTTGGTTTAGTTGTTGCAAAATGTGCCAAAACTGAATTCGCTCTTACTTTGCATTTTTTCTGGCTGGGGTCAAAATCCGTGCATGTCTAAGGGTATACACTTTTCATGAGTTCTAATAACAGTGAAACTGGTGACCAGTTGTCCCTCGTTTTGGTACAGACTGACCAGAATCTTGAGGGCAGGAGAAAAAACACCCAGACAAAAGTGCTGCGAATAGTGATTGTGCGATACCAAAAACACTGTTGGACCGGTAATTGCAATTTTTACGCACCAAAACAGTCCTCTTGCGTTCTGCTAAATCTCAGGCCTAGATTTCTTTGGTAGCTTTGATCTGATTCATCTCCAAAGGATATCAAATTATCTCCGATAACGAAACCTTCCTCTCATTGATCTCTGCGTTGGGATGATAATAAGCCAAGATTATTTCTCTTTTTGATTGTTTAGGTTCGATTGTCGGTGAAACCACCAGGGCGGCGACTGATTAGCTTTTGTGCGGCCACTTTGATTGCACCACAATGGGTCCTGACAGCAGCTCACTGCTTACTGGTTGAAAATAAGCGGATGCCTGTCGGTCGGATGGTCAATCTGCGGGACCAGATGAAAAGTGTCCTGTACGTGCACTTTGGTGATCATGATAAGACAAAGCAAGAAGAAGCTCAACAGGATGTCCGAGTAGAGAAAGTCATACTGCACCCGAGATATCACCGCAAACTTATGGCAGATGGGGATGACATTGCACTTTTGTACCTACCAAAGGCCGTGAACATAAGTAAGTGTGTGGAAACAAGAGGGAATTAGCTCACCGAACCAAGACACTTACACTGAAAAACTCTACTGCAATGTGTCTCGAAAACACAGGCAATAATTGTGTGGTTTCCAATGGAAGCACTAAATTGCACCTGATTTTCTTGCAAACCCATTATTTTCCTTGATTAGCGTGGCTCTCCAGCAGCTTAAGCAATTCAAATTTGTGACAAAACATTTCAAAACAAGAATTTTGAATCACAGTGACAAATATGCTCGGGAACCTGCAACAACTCGTGAATCCTTCTCGGTACGGTGCCAAATATGGATGACATGAAATTTACTCCGAATGCAAGGCCTGGGCATTTTCAATCAAATTTCCAAGAGAACAAAAGCTTGTATGACAGTCCATCAAGACATACCACTACGATATACTGAGTAACAGCCCAAACGAACCAAGACATGGATTAAGGACGGTGAATAATGTAATGCCGAATTTCCAGCCCTTAGTTTCTGCAATACAGTTCATTGGACTTGATTACTCTGTGAGCAGAACAAAAATTTTGGTTCCAGCTTCATTCTTCATCAAAATGACTGCGTCTCTGCCTGAAATGCTCGACTGTGCTTCCACCATCGTAACAGCCCAATGAAATTATGTTGCGCGAATAGACGCTTGGTGAACTTACAAAGTAGATCGCGAGGTAATCCGTTCTCAGTAGTATCGTGACCATCGGCTGCGTACCGGGCGGAGATTCATAGTGTCTGTTGTATCCCCAATGACGTTCGCTGGGCGGCTTGGTATCACTCTTACTAATTTCAACAGATTGTTTCCTGTAAACCATGTTAGCACATTCTTGCAAACAGACCCCTTATTGTCGGCCTCTGAATGTGTGAATGACATTGGCTCGTAGATGATTGTATACTACCAGCACAATGAAATCGTAAAACTGTGCAAAATTTTCAACATAACCCTACTACTAATAAAGAGCGTGAAAGGCTTTCATTCAGTCAAAATGGCTATTGAATCAAATGGAGCTTGCGCAAGAACGCATTTTGGACGAACTGATAAAGAAACACCAAAAAGTGAAAATGGATGCGACAGAGTTATCGATTTATTTCAGGGCAGCACCGATTTTGGAAGTTTTCAATACTTTATTTGGCTTTTAGTCAGATAAATTGCTAGTTTTTCACTAAGAAATGTATGGCTCAAGACATTTCACAACATCGTTTCAAAAAAAACTCGTCACTTCAGTTTCGGAGCTACAGGTCTCCGCACTTTTTGCGCCTAATGTATCAGTAAACTTCACGGGTTCTCTTATTTAAGCATTTTAGTCCAATACATGTGTAACAGAAAGAAGCCGCACCTTGATGAGCCAATTAACGATTAATCTAATCGGAAAATATCCCGTTCTGCTGTTGACTTGTAGCATCGATAGGATTTGACCAGTTTTATAATTCCTGAAAGTGTGCATCAGTCTCGAAGTCAGTGCTGTTTAGCACATTTTGTATGGAATATATTTTAATGGAATATCCAGGGTCCATTGGCCTCGTTCGGCGTTATAACTATCAAAAGCCTGACGCCTTTGTCCATCTTCAGGCGTCTCGGTTAAATTCTTAAAACAGACAACACCTGTAGATTGTCTCAGAATCAGTCCGAATACGACGCTAGTGTTTATAAAGCCCGTGGTATGTGAAGTTCAGAGCCTTGTGCATCCACAAGGACACTTTACATCGATTCATCTTTACGTTCCTCTCAGACTCTGTCTGGTCATCTTTGGATTTTTGTTCAGAGCACCAATTATTTAGTCTCTCAAGAGTATATATTGACTTGACTAATAATAGGAAGCCTAAACGCTAAAAAATATATATACATATGAACTCAGTCTTTTGTTCTCCGTTGCATACCTGTGTTCACCCGTGAATTCGCAAACTTGAAAGAACCGGTTAGCGTAAAAAACGCCGAGTTGTGCTTGAGCTTGAAGGTAAAGTGCATGTAAGTGACTTGGAGATAAACGCGCTAGTTTAGTTTAGGAATTCCCATAACCGCATACGATGTGCACGATTTTGAATGCAACGAAGGCAGTATCCTGAATACAAAGGTCCTCTTTTGTGACAGGTTATTAACAGCCTTTAACAAAGTTCTCGAGCAGACCATTCAAGAGAGATCCTTCCGCCGAGGGGTCACTCTTCTGGGGAGGGGAACACCGTAGTATTCTGTTTTTTCAAAGGATAGTCGCTTTTTGGAGTGGCCTAACACTTTCTTTGTCTTCTAGTCTGTCTTAGTGGATCACTGCAGAGAATGGAACAAGACCGCATGGAAACGTGCAATGCACTTTCCAGTGTATTTCAGCCTCCGCTCGGTTTAAAGATATTTTTCTTGGTGACGTATTTGTATCTGACCCAACCTGGTAACTAACATGTCAGCAGCCGTTGGCCGACGCTGCAACATAGATGATGGGACAAGGGAAGACTTGCCACTGTTGTGATGAGAGGCACTTTGATAATTTTGAGCTTCGCCAATGTTTCTGTTCTTTTGTATTGTCTATAGTATTACCCATGCTATTGAGTTCATGGTCACCCTGGATGAGGTCTCTGATGATTTATTCGCTAGCGGTATCGATTCAGAAATTAGTTGCTCAAAACGGGCGAAATGTATGTCATTTTGTGAAGGATGTGATGGGTCCTAGAAACTGTGTACAGCATATCATTTGTATACAAAAGGACACTTTTCCATCATTCACATTTCTTTTCGTTTTCAGCTCCCAAAGTAAGCTATGCTTGTCTACCGACAAAGGACGTGCAAGTAGAACCAGGCACTCAGTGCTACGCAGTTGGATGGGGCAGTACTGAAGCGGGACGCACACCAACCTTCGACAACATCAACAGCATCCTTGATGCCCTATTTCTTCCAGGTTTTGGATTTTCTTCACCATTCTTCTCCAGGCCGTTCTCTATGTCACCATTCTTCCGTAGATCACAGGACAGAGCCGTGTCCCGTGTGTTACGAGAGGTTGATCTTCCGGTAGTCAGTAACAAGGAATGTCGCAAATACTATCCGGATCTGAACGAAGATGTACATATTTGTGCTGGTTCTAAAGGCAAGGTGAGTCATGTGGAGAAAGAAAACCACAAATAGGATTTAGCTGCTAATAGGATGATTCATCCTACATATAAATGTGTACAATAAGAGTGCTTGTTTTAGGAAAGCAATAATTTTATGGTCAGATTACTAGCTGTTGTGCCACAGCGAAACTTACAGTCATGCTGGTGCCGTTTTTTAACAGTGGACCACTCAGTGAAGGGTACCATTTTTTCAATCAACTGGAAAATGTTTGGGACAGATTGGGAAGTCATCGCTCCAGAGAGGTTTGGTAAATCCACCTATTGTTTATAGAACCTCTCTGAAACGACGAATCATTTTTGTTCCATTTATGCGACTCCACACAGTCTCCGCATGCCAAAATATGAAAATCGGGGTAGAGTGTTCCCCAAATATGAGAAACGCTCATACAGGTCAATAGCAGTTTTACTTTCTCGGGGTTTTTATTTTCTCCCGGACTTGAGTCCAGCTACATACAGGCTGCTTGCACTGCATGAGATGCTAGAGCTGGGCCAGAAATCCGCGAACAGGTATAATTCTTTCTCGGATTGCGCCTTATTCAAGTCACTATCCGCGAGTCCATGAGAAGGTTGTCAGAAAAACGGATGTCTGGTTAGACAGTAAATCTAGCAACAGCGAATCAGGCCTGCAACAGAGCTACGCATATTGTCATTATCTGCCGAACATATTGCTTCGTTGGAATCTTTAGTTAGAGGGCCCATGGAATGATTAAAATTTTACTCGGTTTGATACTACCGAATATATAAATCTAACCCGAAGTCCATGGTGTTTGAGCTTTTGGTTCTCCTCCTAGTTATCTGACTTCGCGCTGGGCGTGAAGAGGGCTTGAAAGGCTAGTGACAGCAGGCCTTTTTACCAACTCCAATTGTTCTTTTCTCAATTGCATGGTTATTCGCAAAGATATTTTATCGTTTTGTGACAGACGAGTGGCACTGTCAGCGCTTTTGATTGTTGTAAAAATGAGTAACAAAACAAAGTAGGATGACTCTTTTTGGGCAACATAAAAATAAATTACACGACAAAGTTACAAATGTTTGTTTAGAATAGAAGTAAGGTTAGCAACCACGTTTTGAATCCTGTCTAAAAGATTTTAATGTACCCTTTTAGATCAAAAAAGCAATGGCTAAGTGTACACAGCAGTGCATCGGAAAGAAACTAAGAAATGTTTATGCTTTTTACTCTGAACTTCCGGGACCTAGTATGAAGGCGATAGCAGCGTTTTATGAACAGCATGGATGTTAACTAGCTCTGCTGGAGGGCTGGAGAAGGAAAATATAAGTGTTCGATTTCACGGATTAACGGCTATATCGGGCGATAAGCCTAAAATGACAACCACAAAAGGCAAATTGCGGAACAAAGTGTTGTCTAGGTGGCATTCCCGTCAACAAAAGCACTAGAAGAAACCTGACATCAAGTTACTAAGAGTATAGAGTATGGCGAAGTCAGCACGAACATAGTCAAGTGGTTTGATACGTGTATTGGTTGGTGCAGTATATTGGGAAAGACTTTAAACCAATGAGAGAACAAACCCTCTGCACCGACAGACTGTAGTGCAATGGCTGTCCTGTTCTTGTTATTCTGTTGGTCCGGCAGTTAGACAGAGTAAAGAGCATGGGCACTTTTGTGAGAAATAATATAGGGATGCGATACAGCTGGGTAAATGGGGGCACTTTCAACTCAGCATCTAGTTTATATCAAATAGCCTACAGAACTACAGCATGGCTTCTGTAGTCACAAGGAATGCCCCTGAAATGAATTGCTGTTGGTTGGCCACAAACCAAATGCAGTGAACTAGTCAAATGGGTCAAAAATATTACTCATGTGACATAGCGTACTGGCATCGGAAGCCACCCAGTTTTCCACCCCTCTTACGTCCCACATTTTAGGGCCAACACAAACCGGTTATACATATTGCTTATCAAACAATGAGCTACTTTCATAAAGAAAACTACTCACAGGGTTGCCGAAAATTCGATTTTCACACATCATCCTAAGGTCCACATGCTACACCGTCCACCCTGGTGCACAACTAGATACTATTCCTATTCCGTATTTCCTCCCATATGAAACCCACCGTATCACAAGAACCGTTTTTCAGTTCCTTAACTGTTCTGTTGAAGTGGACAGAAACCTCTTATCGGGACTAACTGAAGACAAAGGCTACCATTAGTCCACTGAAAAAGAGCCCATAGGTTATAAATAACAGGTCTAGGACTTCAGTCCGAGATGTTTTATGTAAATTAACCATTTATTTCGTGTTTTTCTCAAATCTAGGACATTCTTCCTGTCGATTTTACAGAGCCGTACTTTCGAGGTCTGAATCGGGTACTAACGTCTCTATTCACTACTCATGAGGTGCCTATAACATCAGCTTTTATAACTGAAATGATGCGTCACCGTACGGTTTTCGCGACCATCATAGGCACTTATTGGGAAACAGCTTATGCCGACCTACTTTGCGTACAGCGATCCTTAGTGGTCTTTGAATGCTAAAACCAGTCAGGACAACCAGATAGCTCATATTCTTAGGGAACTAGGTTCTCTAAATTACGGCTCGGTGTAACGGTTGTCTCTCCAGGGCTAGAGCACAGTACAGTTTAGCGGTTAGAATGGAGATCCACCTAAATAGAAAAACAGAATAATGCTAATTGAGAGAAATGATGATGACGGAGCAGTTAATGCTACCATATTCTGGCTGAAACTCAGCTAGTTTCAAACACAATAGGCTTGAAAGATCACACGAGAACAGAACCGAACCCCGGTTTGAGCAGGGGTGAAGTAGTGCAGCGCCTAAGATTGTGTATTTTAAAAACCAAATTATATCGTGCTGGTATTACAGGTGTGGAAGACTGGTTATGTCTGCCCTTTCCTTTATAATACCAGTCACTCATCTGTCAGTACACCGGCAAAGATCCAACTGTTCGAAAGACTGGTATGCGAGCATCAGAGTTTGATTCGATCCCCTCTGATCTTGCAGAAGGGCTCTAATATTTGTATTCAGTGCATGCAAAGTGGCAACACTCAAAAATTCTTGACAAACTTTACAAGAAGCTGATACAATTGAGGGATTGGGAATAACTCAAGAAAAGTTCCGTTGTTAAAGTAGCTCAAACTGGATTCACTTGGTCACAAAAAATTTAATACTCAGCGACCGTCAAGATGACTACATCTTTTAGGAAAATCATCGCCCGAAAAGATGATTTCCGTCAGTCCTATGGGTGATAAGCTCCAGTGATTTTAATTTTAATTTTAAATGTGCATTTAAAGTAGTGGTTACCAACATTTGCTGTTCATCAATGCTCCTCGTCCATTTTGTAATACCTGAATTAGTAGCAACCCGCAACGAATTTTATTCTAATCAGATGAGCCCTGAATTATTGACTCTCTGAGTCACCACGGGACTGTTGCAACTAATTCCAGCGAAATATAGTTTCCAGATCTGTGCTTCCAGGGAACCCCTTTTTTATTTCCCCATAGGACACCTGTGCCGGTGACAGTGGTGGCGGACTCTACTGTCAACTGCCTAGATCCGGACGATGGTTTGTTGTCGGAGTGACGAGCTTCGGTCTGGCTCGTGGTTGTGGGACAAATCCAGGGGTTTATACTTCTGTCATTGGACACTTGGATTGGATCACCCAAGTGATGGCCACCTCGGTCTATTGAGGCCCTTCATCATAACCCTCATCGTCTGCTCCGATGCGCGACAGCGTGGGATTAAAATATCCTGACAGATTTTTATGTCATCTACTGCCCGTTGATTGTACTCGCTTCCACCACCAAATTTTTCTGAAACATCAATAAGAACAATAAATGTACTTGCACAATTTCCCTGCCAGACTTTCACTGGAGTCATTATACCCTTCCGCTATCCAGGGATGGTTTAACGGTTAGTCACTGATAACCACATGGTAGCTTTTTCAAATGGCTACGTCTAAGTAAGTTTTTCATGGAGTTGAATGTATGAGGCGGCGTTCAGACGTTGCGTCTACCCCAAGATGTAGTGAGACACCAGTCGGGAAACTGAAATCCACAAATTAACTGGTCAGTCGGGAACGTTTCACCTGGCCTAATCGACCATTACTCGGGGACTCATTCAAATGATATCAATCCTTAGGGGCAATTTTACCGGAAAGTACTGATAAATTGACTGAGAACTCGAGGAGAGGAGCAACGAGTGACTGACCAGAATGCTGCTGACAGCAAAGTGGCATACATTGAATCTACGAAAGCCACAACACGGAGAAAGCGACTAGTGGATCTCTGATCTGTCTTCGTGGGGGTGGGGGGCGTTACTTATAGGACGAAAACTTGGCAAATCAAGCCTTAGAAATGTACAGGGAAATTTTGTCAGCCTTTGGAGACGATTTTTCGGACGAATGATTCAGCAGTTTTCGAATGTGTTTGTTTCCCAGTGCAAGTTTAGTGCGACTTGCACCAAGTATCGCTTATCCTGAGCATAAATTCCAAATGCTGCCTCAGAACAAACTGCTTGGGTTATTCGGTGACCTACATAGTGTGTTTGTTACCGTTATCTCTGCTTTCATATTTTTTTAAACCCCAGCAATCAGAACATCAATTCATATCTGACAACAGAGTTTTAACCTTGAGTTAACATCAGACATCAAAATAAAATCATATTGCAGGACCGTCCAAATCATCACGCCCTAAAAATAGCTGTCTCTCGATGATCAACCTATTTCTTGGATCCAGGCATTTCCAAGGAAACCACGAACGCTGTTTTGCAACAAAACCTTTACTCACTCCTCAGAATTTTTCCCCTAATAGAACCTAGTAGCGCTGTAGCCAGAAGGGGCACGGCTGAGGTCTATCCTGATTTGAGTGGATTTGAGCTTGTATTTTATCATCAAACCTTCGATCACCAGTACTTTCGTACGGTAGCAGACGTTGGCTTGTCAACGATCAAGTAATGTACACGACAGTATTCGATGACAGATAATAATTTTTAGAGTGGTGATTAAGACTCATCAGAATGTGGTTTGGACGGATAATACACACGATCACTGCCTATCAAGAAGAGCATCGCTTTAAATTCAGAAGCACCGGTGGTAAACTTCCTCGCCAAACGGGCCATTCTATGAGTACGAGGAAAGAAGGTAACTGCAACCAGACAGAATGTTGTGGGATGTGTTGGCCTTGCTAGCTGGCGTCATTCTGATTTCGCGCATTTAGAAATTCCACAGACTGGGGGCAGTAAAAGAATTCCAGTACGGAGCACGTTTTTAATTTCTAACTCCAGTATTTACCTCTGGTTTGTTGCTGTTGACGATGATTCCCTCTGTAATAGCATGTGGTGCCTCATCCATTGAGACCTTAAAGCGGTTCATAGACATTCCACGATTACCAACTATGTCTGGATTACTGACGATCAAAACAAACAGACAGAGGCTCAGTACTGGAACGGAGACGTCCGAGATGGGTCCTTTTCTTTACAATGTGAAGATAGTCTGAATATAGAGCATCACCAGTATGGTCTTACGTTTGCGTGGTAATCTACTTAGCCATTCTACGCAGTTCAGAGTCCATCAGTGCGTTGGCTTATGTCGGAAACTTCGTCGTTCATAGGTGGCATCTGACATTTTCGATATGCGTTTTTTGCTGTTTTCCAGTAGATCACTATCTTCATAACATTAAACCAGGAGCGAAGTCGCGGAATCGTGGAGTTTCGGGTAAGGTTACCTCTCCAGGGCGGGTAATTCTGGCGGATAGTACTTTTTATATACTGCACTGTAGAGTGGTATCACTGCTGTATGAGGTTTTCACGGACAGGTTACTTTACGTATTGTTTCATGCCTGGATTGGTCACCTTTTCCTATGTTACTGAGCGTACAGTTTTTTTGAACATTCGCTGTCAGTTGTGACAACCTGTGGTCTACCGGCGCGGAGTTCAGAAACATTTTTGAAACAATGCTACTGCACTCAGGCCAACTTCCCATTGAGGTTCGTCAAAATGTACATATTGAGTTGTCTTCAGGTAAAATGGTGCTGCAATAAAATACCCTTTGAAGCATCTCACCTTGATAATGCCTCAAGTACTTCCAGCTTGGTTGCTGGGTGCATCAACAAAAACTCGTTTATTTTGGAAACAGTTTCACGTCTGTGGGTCAATCACTGACCACACCCGGGCAACTGTTGGTCGTGTTGCTGTACACCATCACACTTTTGCCGTTTGGTCTTGCTAACTGAATTTTTCCATTAGAAAAGGTTACCTAACCGAGCAAATGGATCATATAGCAAAATATAACTTGAAACCTCTCTGTCTCTGAACGTTCTGCAAATGGATTATTGCTCCATCTAAATGCTCCAAGCAGAACTTCTCCCCTACAAAGAATCTTCCATTCTCCGATGCATAGCACCAGTGACGTTTATTCCAACCTACTTCATCCTGCAGCGATTAGGCTTTTTGTAAAACCGGAAAGTTATTTCGTCTTCCTGAGCCACTAGCGTGGAGAATGCAACAACAGTTATACTCTCCCCACATATACTACTGGATGTAGTGTCTTATAATTTGGTTAGCTGGATCACTCAACTAGGCATCATTCTTGGACAACCTTCTCTTTCTACCTATTCTTCTTTAAATCATATCCACAAATTTTGCAGTGGCCTAAAATGACGGCTTTTGCAGAGCGAATTATCCTTCTGATGGTTTAATCATCCACTTTTTTCCGTCATGGTCGATAAATGTCTTTTTCAGAGTTACGCGAGGTAGAATGCGCAAAGACGAATTGCACGCTGTCCTCGGGGTGAAACAATTGATTCGTTTACTTGACTCTTAAAAAACTCATACATCATTCATTACCCTATTGATACTGGCTTTCCAAAAGGAGTTAGCATTTTCTCGTATCAAAGTAGGAAATAAAGGTGTATCTTGATTTAGTAGGAATGCCTGAAATGTTCTTTGGCCTCAATCTCGGCAGCGGAAGGCATAGACGGCACAGGCAGACATAATCACATGAACATGGACCATCAGATCATGGTGATAACTCCTTAGCGGTTAATTTCGTTGATCTCATAATGAGCAAACAAAAATAGCGGGAAGCATTTGTTATCTGACAAATCGTAAGTCACCTGGGTAATGGAAGACGACCAGTGGCGGTGGATAACCAGGATCTCGGCACAACTGTCAACAGATTCCAGCGATTTTGTGCATTCTGGTGCTGAGTACTGCTTTGATCAGGCATGCATACGAGATCCGATAGAGATTTCGCCACGTACGCGAGGCCGATCCATGCAAAATAACTGAGAAGCACTATACAACTGCTGTATTTTCTTTGGGATTCATTGACACTGCGCAAATCTCCCTAGCGATAAGAACCCGCTGCTCCCGGCTAGTAGGCGGAGACTAAGCCGTTCAGTCACCAACGAGAGGACACTTAGCATATATCGTTACACTTTCTCTACTCTCAGAAAGCGAATCACGTTTTTACGTACTGGCCGGTCCCTTGAGTGGTGATAGAAGAAGGGTCACGAGCTACAAGTTGGTCGTTATTCTGAGCCACTTATTGCTTCTCGGTTGCGCGGTGTAGAGTGTTCGTTTACAGGACGAAATCTCGACTTAAATTTCGAACTCCCTCTGTAATGTTAACAAATCACACTTAAAAGATGAGTCGATGATATAGAAATGAATAATTAAGTGTTTTGAGTGCAAAGGGCGGTTCAGTTAGAGTCACGACGGGTGATTCGCTCGTAATCGTGAAAACTGGGGGGTGGGGCATGCAGCAAAACATTGTATCTTGACCAATAAGAGATCCCTTATCCTCCATTTTATTTTAGCTATCTCCTGTGTGATGATGAGCCGGCTTTCCGGATGACTCGAATCCGATCTGCCCAAGCACGGATCTTGGTGAGAAGGCTGTCTTAAACATTGATCCGATGTTGATTCCAGTAGTATTGGCCGTAAACAGATCCGGGCATTTAACGTTGGTCAGGTTTTTAGATGACAACTTCAACGTGTTGGGCGAACAGTTCTCAACATGTCTGCATGTGGACGGCGAAAGTTCAGAACCGATGGGACCAGTGTTGTCGAAATAGGGGCTTCAAATGAAGCAACTGGAATGCATCCATGACGAACCTCAAAATTATCAACCACTGGTCCTCGAACGGCTTCATTAAAAGTGAAGTGTGGCAGCAAGAGCATGGTATTGTTGTTTACAATGTTACCATTTTCATTATGAGTGCTATCGTGACAACAATAGCACAAAGTAACACCACCGAAATGGCCAGCAACACATAATCCTTATACCCATGTGCCTGTCCTCTATACGGATCTAAAAGTTTGCTTCTATTTGGACAGTCAGCAGTGGGCAGTTTTTCGACTTCTGTGCGATTATCATTGGGATCTCCGCTACGGTAAGCATGACACAAATGGCTACTAATCCAGTCGTCCCCACTGGTCGGACAACAACCTCGGGTCCGTCGACGGTGCTTGTATCCTGTTCCATTGCACACAAGGGACCATTCAGACCAGGATTCCCATGCACACCAGCTGTAAGTTTTATCACAGTCGCACGACACAAAGCTCGGTGACCGACCTAAAAGTTTAATATTCACTGCACGAAGGACGTCCTGGGGGTCGAGTACGGTTCCTAAATGTTTTCCTAATTCCACAGCGTACTGGTAAGTGTATAACTGCTCGATATGTTGAGTACGATAAAGACATGGTAAAGATCCACCGTAGTAACTCTTCCTTGGTGGCGGACATTTGCAATCCAGTACTGCCACTGTAGTGCACGGCAATTTCTCAAGTAAGGGATGCGTTTGGACACACTGGACCCTTGCAGAAGCACAAAACTTGGGGAAAGGAATTGTACATTGAGGCCCCTTACACGAGCTTCCTATCTCCGGCTGGATCTCACTAATGTGGTCGCTATCACATGACTTGCTGAACAAAAATATGCACACACTGAATGCAGCCAGAAGACTAGCGGACGTCATGTGAAGTTTTCACTAGTTCGACGTGAATCGCATATGGTCTGTCTGACTGGAACGTTCGGTGATGCAAACACTGCAACGGGGTAGATTTAAAAATCTTCGGGTTATTGATTCATTGGAGGGCTGAAATTGTCAGCTGATGTGCTGGAGTCATGTGATGCAATGATTCGGGAATTTCCTTCCTCTGTGGTTGCCTAGACAGACCCGAAAGTATCAGTTCATATTGTCTGCGTGCTCATGAGGGGCCTTGGATAATTAACCAGGTGACTGATACAACATGTGTGAACGATATCCCCCTCACGGCGGAGACCCTAGGGTCTTTGGTGAGAGATAACTCCTTTGCGAGTTTTACTGACGATTCATTCCTTCACTGAACTTCCTGTGCCGTATCCATCTTAAGTACACCTCATATTCAGCGCAGAAGTACCCAGTCTATTTAAACTGTGCAGTTTTCCAAAAGCTATGAGTAAAGATCTAGCGAGAAGCGCAAAAGGATGAAATCAAATCTCCAATACAAAAAGTGTTTGAAACTATAGACCACAAAATTGACCTCTTGTGCGACAACTCATAAAACTGAGTGAAAAAAGATGCAGGAGGCCCTAGCATGCCAAGCACCCACTAAAATGTAACCTGGGAGAAGAACGAAAGGTTGCAGATGATTGTGTCTCCACTCAAGGTCAGAGTGCCGATGTAGATCATCCCTAAATCGCATTCATCACCGCTGCTGTCCGTAACCGAAACCCGGGGACTGTAGTCGAAGCTACGCAATACCTGGTGAAATGCTTGATACTGAACAAGTCTACATTTCTGTAACTGGTTTAGAATAAGCCCACCGTTGACACAAAGTCAGTTTTTGTTAACATTTTGATTTCCTCCTTTGGTAAAAGCGAATAGAAAATATCTGTCTGCCTGCTATCGGTCTGCATTGCATGAGTGCAATGTGTTGTGAACATAGAATGAGGATTTATAACGCAGGTAGGTACGATTGAGTTTGATAAAGTAACCACAAATAACAAAAAGCATTTACCCTAGAGAATCATTACATTAGAAGTCCTAGAGTGAAAAGAAAAAAGTGGGTGAGGGAAGGGACCTAGCGCTGGCCTATGTCAAGCATTCTGAGGTGCCTACACCTCCAACCGCTCAATCAGACAGCCTGGAAAGAGACTGACAGCAGGAACGCCACTGACATCGAATAGCCACCATTTATTGCAACGTCTCCAGCCGAGCACAGGCGGGGTGACGCGGACTCCATCCTGGAAGGCGTACAACACCAACACCCAAACTTTTCGTGACCTGTTTCATGCCTTCCGGTCAAGTGATGCGCTGTCCACCTCGCGGCTTGCGCCATCCTGAAGGAGGCGCGGAAAACAGCACTCGTCTCGGCATGCGTAGCAGATGACCGTGCCATCGTAGTCGATGATGCTGGGTGTTTTTTCGAATTGAATTACCTGCAGCACAACCAAATACACGTTTTCAAACACGCTGACGCCATCCAAAACCAACAAAGCTTATGAGGCATCGGTGATAAAAAACCTGAAGACGCCTCAAATCATCTGTCCGAAGAGGCCATGTCTCGCACCCGTACAACAACAACACAGCCCTTACTGTAGCCTGGTATACATGACCCTTAAGATCTAGTGAGATTCAAGATCTAGTGAGATGTCTTTTTGAAGCCATAAGTGGCACAAATTAGCAAACATGATTCGAGCCTTCACGGGTCCAAACCCCTCGTAGGTTTTGTCCCATTTGCAAGTACAGTTAGTGTCAGTTTGAGCAGTGTCAAATTTATCTAGTCTGTGCACCATGCAGCTTATCAAATGGCATCTGGCATTGATCGATATCTGTTATCCATGACCTGTCAAAGCATTGTTAGGGTGGAGAGTATTCACAGTTTGCTTCATTGGCCTTAGTTTCGTAGGTCTTGAACAAAGACTACTGCTATTCCGACTTGAACGAAAGCCGGATAGATATTGCTATTCTTGAGATCCCGGTCCGAATCTGGTGATTCATGAAAGCTCTACGAAACGACTGTTTTTCGAACATAACTCAGGCTTACGAAACTCAACAGATTCAAGCTTAAAGGAAAAACAGGGATGAGAAGCACTCGAAAAGTAAATATGTTATTCCAAAGCACCAGGTACAGACATATTACGTTGAGCGGATCTCAGCCATATTCGTCACTCTGCTGAAATAGTGCCTATAATTTACAATGGCTACTGGCTACTCTCAGAAGTCAAATAGCTAGCCGAGATATTAAAACTACTGAGGGCCCAATACTGGTAGCCCAATTCGTTCGGCAACCCACTCCCTATTTGCTCTGTGGAATGAACAGATCTCTAAGAAATTTCAACAGCCGGGCAGATTCATTCTTACTGAAATGTTGGTTGCAATGGAGCTAAGGTTGCTCAAATAACTCAGCGACATCGAGCACCATTACCGGTGCGCAGACCAGCTTTACTTACTAAATCGATTGAAAATGATTTCACGCCTGTTCGTATGGCTTCCTCTTCGTCTCCCTAACACGAAGTCATTTTGAGACGGTCAAAAGTACACACATGTGATACTTTGGAAATTTTCTCACTTTTCAAGTGGGAAATTTGTTTTTCCTATGAATCCAGGATCCGTTTTCGATAAAAGCCGCCCGAATACAAACTGTCCGTGTGTCTTGGGCTGAGGTTGTTGCTGGTATCCACCTGCCAGATATTTTCACAGCAGTATACAGTACTTCTCTAGTACAATTGGGGAAAAACTACGTGATTTCGGTAGTTCAAGATGAAGATGTGCTCGATCCCGAAAACTCACACTCTCGGTAAAATTCCAAGCCCATCGCGTGGTATCAGGTTCTCCTGAAAGACTGATTATTAATCAAAAGAAACATTCTGATCGTTCACCAGTAGCTGGATTATTGAATTAACCAACAGCCGTTCTGTCATATTGTTATTGCTACCTGTGGGGAGGGACAGCCCGATAATTGCGAATGCCGTGCAGTCATGAGGCAATTTCAGGTTTAATACAGAATCAATCGTTACACAGAGAAAGCACTTTGACGGAGAAGAGGATTTAGTCCATTTAAAGGATAAATCACAAACTAGCTCGATAATGACGGAGAATGTTGTTGTCCTTCAGATAGATGGCCCCTTTTAAAAAGACGGACATGTCGTACACAGAAAACCCATAAATAAGAAATACACCGCAACTGACGACACCTTGAATTGCTCACGGGTTAAGTAAATCCTCAGAAGATTTAGATTTTCACTGAAGTTTTGGTCATTTTAGGCCTTTTCCATAGTTAGGCTGTCATGTGCTCTACTGTTTTCTGATCCCCTTGGAATCGGAGGACCTCGTATAAAACCGGTTAGTCAGAAGCGTACGTGATAACACAGAGCGAAAAGCTGACAGTCAGGACGAGCTCACCATGTATTGCTCCCCAGTCCATTGATTTACTCGTGACTAAGTGAATCAGGAGCGACAATAAGGGCCTTACACTCCCGTCGAAAAACAAACGTGAATTTATCGGCTGTAAGGAGACTTACCACGTAACCACACAGTGAAGTCGAAGCGGACTGTCAGCTCAGCATAAAATGCATCGTGACCAAATTGAATCGAGAGCCATTAGACGGATAGGTGAAGTGTTCAAGTGAACCGGTGAAGCTTACTAAACGGCAGCTAGAGCTTCGGTGTAGTCACAATGAAGCCAACCAGTGTTAATTTGACTCAAAATAAGGCTACTACTCTCTCACGGCGGTCAGCCTAGTGTGGTCCAGCGATTCAGGGAAAACTTTCATTGGAACCCATTCCACTGGGTTTACATTTAGTACATTAGATTGAGGTTCCAGAGAAGGGCAGACTTTAGCATAAAAGCCAACAGCAAAAAGACCGACAAAAAATAAGAGTTCTCGTAGTGAGGCAGTTTAACGTCAACATGGCTAATGTCTCAAGAAGGAAACACTCTAAGACAGGTGGAAGTAGCAATCCTGTTCTCCCTTGAGAAGAGGTTGCAGAGGGACAGCAGCTGAATTTCAGGTTCCCGGACGTGAGTCATTTTGCGCGACGAAATCAAGTACAGGTTGTCTGTATCGATCAAATAGGGGTGTTATCCATCAACCAATGCATTTTTATAGTTGTTATAGACAAATGCCTGATAGTATGTGGGGATATTGAGATGAATAGAAGTATACTCTGTGAACGAAGCCTGGACATGGTTGGCCCCACGGAAAGAGGAAAACACGGAAAAATATTTAGTGGGTAGTCGGGAGTTAGAATAACCGACAATAAAGCGGTTTTCGTCAAAATCTGCTTTACCAGACAGAATAGACTATTGGAATAAGAGATGTTCCAGAAAATGTTTCCCTGGCCTACCTGTCTCAGCTTTGTGGTGCTGTTTCGTTTCATCACCATCAGAGACAGCAACATAGGTTTTGAGACTGATGCTCCACTACCGTAGACGTGAGGTGACCCGGTTGATAGCACCACATGACGGCATGATAATACTTCAAGTTGTGAAGTTCATTGTTGTACGCGAGTCGGGACACTGTCAGAACACTCACACCTGGACAGGAGGACAGGGCAGGGTACTCAGCCAAAGCCTTTGGTTCAAAAACCCGACTGTAAGGCAGTGGGTGGTCAAGCCGCCGCGCCTAATCTGTTAACGGGGATACTGTCTGTCGGAACTTCATTCACTGACCGATCTGGTGTGGGAAACTCTGAAGCTGTCAAAATGGAACCTATTCAGTATAGTTAAGCGGGTCATAAAGGTACACAATTCACCGTATCGCGATATGGTACGGTCTCTCTGCAGCGGAGTTCCGGCTCAATCTTGCGAAATCGCAATGATAGTAGTTACGAGTGATTGCAACATGTATTTCCACCGCTTTTTCGAAATTCGGCAGTGTTAAATAAAAAGGCTCCCAAAATGCCAGAAAAATCCAAGTAATCATACAGAAGTGTACTCATATATACAGTCGTATAACGGATGGCATAATCGCGACCAGGAATAATGAGAAAAAATAGTTATAAGCACAGAAATGCGGAAATGATCAATCAACCAGTTGACCCTTGACTTTCAACTTTTTCATCACACGCCCCTGTTCAAGTGCAGCCGCCCTCTGTTTTCGCCTCAGTCCACTATTGCTCGTTGAATCAGCATGGCTATGTGACATTCTGATGCTTGTCCTGGCCGCAGATTCGGAAGATACGGAAGTCCCGGATTGCGCAGAAGGGGAAGGTCCAGAATGTTCAGAAACATGCGATAGCTTGGGGGAAGACCCAACCGAGGTCGACATGCGCGTGACATGTTGTTTCATACCAGAGGATGATGTGTGTGGAGCCGGCGGAGGAGGTAGGTTGCATAGACCGGAGCTTCCTGCAGCCGCAGCCAGGGCACCCGCCACACCAAGTGAATGACGGGGTACAATCGGTCGCTTGGAGTCACAATCACGCAAAGCAGCTAGAATAGAGGGATCCATTTGAGATCCCGGTGGAGAATTTGAGTCTCCATCTGACTGGAGCGAAGAAGTTGGTTTCGAGGTCCCGGGAACAGACAACGTCAAGTTGACCAACTCCGTAGGAAGAGGCTGTGGAGAAAAAACGAACTATGGAGTAGAATGCCTGATCAGAAGCAGAACACTCCGTCTTATACAAAACCCAAAAACAAAGTGCAACGTTTTTGGAATAGTTACACTTCATCAAACATGAAAAATAACTGTAACGGAACACCAGAAACATGGCTGTAGTCTCTTTCACACACACACACACACACACACACACACACACACACACACAGTGAGTACGGGGAAAACTCATTCTTCGCGAAGAGATCAAGTAACGCTTTGTGCATTGAAAAAAAATTAACGGAATGACTTATTAAGTTACTAATCATTGCCTCCTTCCGTAAAAGATTCACCTCCTGGCGTATGTCGTGTTGTCTATCGACGATAACCCTTCAACTGTAACACCCTTCCAGTACTTAGCTGCCATGCCACTCGAAGCACGATGGCTGGGATACTACCAGGTTGCCCAAGCCTGGACAGAAGTCGATATGCATAGATCGGGTTCGAACTACGGACCATCCGGTCAGTGAATTCGCGCTCCAATCACTGAGCCATATCACCCCTCACCCAAGGGTTAGGAACACAACACAACTAACAAAAGATACGAACCATCATCTCTTATTTCTATACACGAAGGGCAGGAAGGACACAAGTTTAATCCAAAAAACGTTAAGGTCGTAGCACGCAGAAGTAAAAGACACGAATTCCTCCGAACGTGGTACTCCGCAAGGGATTCAACGAAGCAACATTGAAATCAACCCACTGCCACGAGTGAGGAACCACCAACTCAATGGCAACATTGAGTCAGCCAAAAAACGAGACCCACTGTGGAGATAAACGAAAGGTCAAAGTGGGGAACCGGGGAGATGAAGCCTCAAGAAGAAAACAGGTCAAACAACAGGTAGAAAGGAATGCTCATTCAGAGTATCAAGGCCGACCCATATGAGTAGACTTTATATCAGTCCACGCACTTCCAACGCATTGAAGATGTCACCTCGACTGACGATCAAACGTTTGCAACCAAACCGCCCAGATCATTACAACCTGAGCTGCTAATATTATCTTTAACTGCGAAGAAGAAACTATTTTGGTGCTGATCGTTCGCTTGCAGAACAGTTTGAATTCGCCTACATCTTTTATTTATGTGGACCTTAAATTTTAGTTGGTAATAAACGGGGTATCAGACGTAAACACGCAACGAACAAGGGGGGACACGTTCGAATAAGCGATATCGGCTAGCTTCAAGAGGTAATATCGTTGGATTATTGTTCGCTAGTTGCTTGTCGGATAAATACACAAGTGATTCGCCCGGATATATTCGACAGAAAAAGTGATCCCCCAGAAAAGAAAATACGAACGCTGACCAGCAAGAAGTGGAGCGGAAGTTTCCAGCAGAGAACGTACCTTATCAGGTGCGAAAGTCTCTAAACGAAGCCGGGCTGACTGTAACTCGTAATCACAGTGCAAATGAGCTGTCCGCAAGTCGTAAAGCAGAAGAATTTTGGAACGCAAGTTGTTGTATGCTTCAACGATTTCGGCAGTAGCAGGAGGGTTTGGATCTAGGGAGTGGAGAATAGGAAAGGCAAATGACTGTGGATAGATCCAAGCTGACAACACATCTTTTCCTACAGCACGAGATCTACGAAAAACGCTTTCGTGACAGACGCAACAGGTACCAAGAAACAAAGCAATCCATGGGGAAGTACAAACGGAAATGTGTAGGACAACAAACTGTCATTCTGTTCTCAATCAAATTTCTAGGGAGAAACCTGAAAAGATCTGTCAAAATAAGCTCAAAGAATGTGTACGCGATCCCACGTTGATAAATGGAAAGAGAGGAACGGAGTAAATATGATCGATTTTGCGACACATACGTCTTTTATTCAGTCACAGAACATCTCAGCATTATACGAAACTTGGTGATAACACGGGACTTTGTGAAGCATTATAATCACAGGATTGTTTTATGGAAAATAACCTAATCAGTGGTAATAAGCCTGTGCGAAATGCAACTGTATACTATACAAGCTTTGGTTTTTACACATGGAAAGAGGTTCTCACATGAGTTGACAGAACTAAACAAGCAAAACTCAGTCGAGTGAACAGAGTGGAATGTTAAGTGAACTCGTTAAAGTGAAGCATACAAATATGAGGGTCCTATGATGGGCAGTTATTCCGTCTCAGGAATATCACGACAGCAGGTTGACAGTTTGCAATTGGTTTTCTCACTGAGGAATAACTAGAGTGGTTGATTTTTGAGGGGAACCTCTGCTGCAAAATTAAAGCAACATAATAAAATAGACTAAATAGCTCAGCGGAACACTGTATCCACATTTTGCCAAACTATGTCATCTGTGCGTATGTATTCCGGATAGAGAGCGATGATAATCTACGGAAAACGTTTTCACAGTAAGGATTTAACATATGAGTGGACGAAAATCGTCAATACAGTGCTTCCTTTCTTGAAATGGTATAGAAGCTGTGCACCGAAAGAGCGTTGCGGCCAAACGATTCTCAATTGGTAATAATATGATCGTAATTACCGGATCGTCAGTGAAGAAGCGAGAGTAATCAGAGTGTTCAAGGATAGCCAGATTATCAAAGCTAACAGATAAGATAAAATTCATACCGAACTCAAATCGCCAGCTGCCCATCACTGATTATCGGAAGCCTGGTGATTCATCCATCCCATGACGAGCGTCGTTGGAGACGAAGGGCATCGGGGTCCCTGCACCTAACGATTCGGTTGACCGGCAGTAGTGCGGGGACAGAGTTCGATGCATTCATAATGAACAATACGTTTCAATGTACAGACTACCAGCAATTTTGTTATTTCTTGACTTCAAAGGCGCATTCGACTCTGTCGACCGTTCAGTGCAGTTAACCACATTTTCTCAGTGGTGCATGCTCCAGAAGTTTGTGAACATAATTCGGTCTTTATATTCACATACTTCTGGGCGTGAGAAGGTGTATGATAAGCTCTCCAAAAGCTTCGATACAAAAAGTGGTGTCCCACAAGGATGACTGCTCTCCATTGTTGTTCAACTTCGTCGCGGATGAAATAATGAGGCGAACGCTGGAAGGTTTTAAAAACCCCGGTGTTCAAATCGTTGCTGGTGAGAACTGTGTCGATCTGGAGTAAGCAGACGACGCCGTCTTCAACTTTAAAGATGAAGATGAAACATAAGCTCTGTTGAATAGACCGACCACAATCAAACCATCTTCCAGCATGAACTTTGTGCCTTCAAATTGCAAAGTCATGCTTCAGAACGTGCAGTCCCTGAACATACTCCCTACAATTCAAGGAGAATCCTTGAGAGTTGTGGAGAATTTCAAAAATCTTTGTATTAACTTGGAAGTGTGACTGATGAAGTCAGTGCCCAGATCTCAAAGGCCGGAATCACGTTTGCTAATTTGCGTTACTTGTGGCGTCAAAAAGGCGTATCAATGGATCTGAAGGGTCGAGTGTACCAAGCTACATTCGGGGCCTCATTGTTATGGTTGAGAGACGTGACCTCTGCGGACATATGATATGAAGCGTCTTTCAGTTATTGACCGGGGCTGCCTCAGAAGTGTTGGTGTCGGGTGGCATCAAAGAATTTGTGAAGCGGTAATTAAAAAACGGGTGTTTGGTTGTGCAGCTGTCGCATCACTCGCCGAAAACAACCAGCAATATCAACTGCGATGGCTCGGCTATGTGCCACACAGGCCTAGAAACCATCTACCGAGACGAATGTTGTTCACTGTACCTGCTTCAGAAAGGTGTAAACCGCAAGGTGGGCACGGTGTGACTTGACAGAGGGGTGTGAAAAAGATTATGATGAGTTTAGGTGTTGTTGGTGCGTCCGCCTTCCAGGATGAGATATCCGTGAAACCCCCTGCAGTTGACTGGAGAGTGAGATGAATGACAGTCAGTCGAAGTCAATGGAGTCCTTGTTGTCAGTTTCTATTCGGATTGTCCGATTGGAAGTGTAAGTACCTCAGAATGCTTGCGACAGGCCGACACCAGGTACTCTCCCTCACCCACTTTTCTCTTCTTTTCATTCTAAGACTAAGTAAAATCAGATAAATTTTGGTGTGTACGGCAGTGAAGCATCAATGTCAGAACTGACATTGCTGTCTCTGATGATGGCGATAATGATAAGGTGCGAAGGCATTCATTTTTATCTTTCTGTGGCTGATTTCGACTGAAACGCTCACGCTTCCAAATTTAGCCATACGTTTTTCCGTAACCTCGTCCACGAGAAACAGCATCATACCTACAGAGCTGGGTGAGATATCAGAACGATCGAGCAAATTACAATAGCTTGGTGAAGGGCGTCATCCATTGAGCAACTCCTCAAACTCAAAACAGCATGAGTGATTTACTGTCTGCTACACTACATCAGTTTACTGACCAGATGATTTGACGAGAACCGAATTGGTATGATTCGTTGTACTACGAGTTCTACCAGATCAGAAGCAGTTGCAATGCAGGGCTCTTCTGGTACCCACGTAAGTCCATATGGGGCACAGCAGTCGCATGAAAAAGCTATACTTACCAATCTGCAAGTGGGCCAAAAAGTTTTCAATGATACGTATTTTCTTTTGACCTAAGTTAGTAGGAAGTTTCATCTGGAAGTGAAAGATCAAGGATAAAACGCAGTTATAATTGTGATATGCTACGATAATTCTTTGAGAGACAAGGTTCATGTGCAAAAGGAAATGAATAATTCGGATATGAGTGAATTAGATGGATAACATGCAGTGCTTTCTGGTTGGTTCTTTCGCCGAGCTTGGCTAGTGGAGCGTAGGTGGGTCCATCGATTAGATAATGCGGTCTTGATCACGCCACAAGCAAATGAATACAATAGATCCACCGACTAAGTGCTTTGAATTTGTGGCACTAACTCTAGTGGACGTCACGACCCATCATCGCTCAAGGCGATCGACTGTATGTTCGTTGGGTACGGTAACGGGATTGCTGTTGTTTCATAACCAATCGAGGAGACATCTCCAGTGTTGTTGGATTTGTCGGTGCCCTTCGACACACGCATTTATGTTTATTTATTGCACTAAGCGAAATAAGCAAGCACGCTTCCTTCGAAGGTTGACTGAACACAGGGAGAGGCAGATCCATGAAAACCAAGCTGGGTTCCGTCCTGCAAGAGGTTGCATCGACCATATCTTCACCCTCCGACTGATTCTGGAACAGCGACACTGCTTCCAGCAACCAACAATGGTTGTTTTTCTTGATCTGAAAGCTGCCTTTGACTCTGTGGACCGCCAAGCACTATGGCAGTGTCTGTGGAGCAAAG